CTATGATCAGCAGAAAAAGTTGCCATTTCTGTTGCTGAGAGCCCTAGGTGTAGCTTCCACAGACAATTGCCTTTAGTGGCTTTTGTATATAAAGCCATAGATGGTTAAATAGATGCACTTTTGCATAAGCTATTGGAAAACACTTAGGTCTAAATTTGAAGATAAAACTTTTCTGTGTATGTACATAGACACTCTACACTGATAAAAAGTAGCTTTTTATTACAGGGATTCCAACTGTAAACTGGTAGCTGTTAATATATCTTGACATTTAGATTTTCTATATTATGAGATCTTGAGAAATAATGAGAACGAGTGTATGAGTTCTCCTGTATTTCCTGCCAGAATGAATGAGATCCTCTCATGTTTGCCAAGAACATAAAGATCACTTAAAACACAAACTGGCAGATTTCCGATCTGCCTCTACCAAACACAGTGCGTTTCCCAGTTTCATAAAAGTGCTTTTCTCCCTAACAGAAGACAGTGATGATAATCATAGCAATCAGTCCAAAATACAAACAGGATGTGGAAGGGGCTGAATCCCAGCTGGACAGGGATGAACACGGCTTACATACTAAATACATCCACAGGATGGTAAGCAAGGACATGCATTTGCTGTTCTACAAAGACTCTGTCTCTTCTTCTCAAAAGACAAATGTGTCTCCAAATGGCAGGTTCTTTGCTTTGTTTTCTCTAATCCCTATAGTTAAACACCCCCCTTTGGAATTCATTAATCCTCCCTCTCATCAGCTACATATGCTCATTAACATCTGCTAAGAGGTTCAAGGAAGAAGAATCCTATTAAACATGCTCATCTTATTTCTTCATATTATTTATTGTTTGATTTTTTTTCCCCTCCTTCACCTTCTTGAGCCCTTGTTGCCCTGTCATATAGCCCTGAGCACAGTCTTACCTAACACTGCCTGACCTTCCTCCCTGCCAGCCAGCCCCTATCACTTCAGCCATTCTGTCACTGAGGTATTTTTTTGGGCAGCAATAAGGCTGGCTGAAAGGTGGAATTGCAAAGCAAAGGCCAGAGCTGCAAAGAGGGGTTCCTGGGGGGACAGGGTGGCAGAGGACCAGCGGGGGTCACAGACGCCCGTCTCTGCAGCCTGTCACAGGACAGACATTTAGCCCAGGAGAGCCCACAGAGCCGTGAAACCCATCCTTTCTCCCTCGGTTCGCAATTTGGTGCCTTTCTCACCCTAAAACCCATCAAATTCCCCTGTTTGATCCTGCGGTCAAACTTCTCAAAAGCTGTCACCAACAGATGAGTTCTCAGTAGTACTTTGCTGTCTTTACCACCCCAGAGATGCCTCTGTCCTGGGACATGGGGGACAGGCTCGGTCCCAGCTCAGACACAGAGCTGCGACATGGGGAACAGGCTGTGTCCAAGACATGGAGCTGGCCTCTAGCAGAAATCTTTCACCTCATTGGAGATTGAACAGGGGCCTTAGTCAAGTCAAACTTTGTCAGTTCTAGATGGATTTCATGGGATTGCATCTGCAACTAAACTCACAATTATTTCACGCCACAGAACTAAATGCTCAAGAAACATTGACAGATCTTTCCTGTATCCTTTCTGTAATAATGAAGAACCAGATTAAGTGGCCAAACAAAGTGATACCAAGTCCACCAGCAGTAGATGAAATCACTTAGCAGAAGAGCAGTTTAAGCAACAAATGTTTTTACGCATAGGATACAGATGCATATGAAGAAAAAATGTGTCATTACAATAAACCTGTCAATTTGTTCTGTTCTAGATGCAGATCGAGTTTATACAACAAGGAAGTATGAACTTCAGATTCATCCCTGTGCTTTTTCCAAATGCCAAAAAGGTAACATACATGCATGCATATATATTTGTCACATGATTAAGCACATATTATTTTGATCACAATGCACTAGATAAAATCTTAAACTCCGAACCTTCAATTTCTTGGTTCTTAATATCCTACTAGTAATATTCCAAAGCTACATTTGACATGAAAAGTTGGTAGTTTTATGTACATACAAATAAAAAACATTTAGTCCACAATATAAATCAGTGCATAAATGTATTTCTGATGATGAACGTATAACTAAAACTTAAATTGTCTTGAGCATTGAAAGGATTTAAATGGAGAGAGACATCTATCCAGCAAGCATGCTTTTTATATTAACCCTTTTATAATTTTATCCAGATGTAATGCCGATGAGTGAGATGGGAGAGATTTATGGTTGATGTGAAGTGAGGATCTGGAAGAGGGTGGGTTGAGAATATAAAAATAAAGAGGATAATAAATATTAAAGTACTAGGCCATTGCTTGAACTTTGATGGGCTCATCAAAGGCAAACTATAAGGTTTTTTAGGACTTCCAATTTCATCTGCCCTCCTTATTGGTTTTGAAGATCCATTTGAGAATAAGAAATAAGTAATGCAACAGATTCCCATACCCTTCTTCCTCACTCTGAGAGAATCTCTTGGATTTTTACAAGGCCAGAAAAGCTAAACGGCTTCAGTTATAGTTGAGAAACTGCATTCTTCCGTGAACTTAGAATGGATATATTGGATTTGTGTTTGCTTTTCTTCACTAAATGCTGTGTGCACTGCTGGGTAGCTGTCATGTTACCCTTTGGTACAGCTGCATTTTGGAAAAGTATGGAAAGATTCTCTATATTTATTTGGGTGCCCAATTTTTGGAACATAAGTAAAGATTTAAACAAGGTTCACAGTGACTGTAGGGCCGTGAAGTTCCTTGTGGATTTGAGTGTGATAAACTTCTTTATTTAGGCACTGACTTAATATAAGCTCAGAAATTTGAAAACACATCCCTGGCTTTGTAAAATATGTGAGGTCCTTTGGAATGAACAGTGCCTCCGGTATTTCAGGTCATTCAGCTCCCTTCCTGAACAGTCTCGGTCTGGTACTTGTCTTAAGTATGAAAAGCTGGGAGACAGCACTGGTGGGAATTGGGCAGACCAAAGGCAGTGAACTGGTCAGCATTTTCGGTCAGTCTTTGCAGCTTGATCTTGGGGGAAAGGGCAGGACTGCTCCTAACTTTGGGGACTCCTTGACTGCCTGCCATGCAACCAGACCGTGCAGCCTGCAGCCGCGTGGCACCTCAAGGATTGCAGAGAGAAGCAGCCCAGCAGGCGCTATAGCTGCCTTTGGGCCTTGAGGCAGACACAAGAACAATAAACTTACATTAATTTTGGCTGAACTTTACGTATCAAAAGACTATTTAGCATATAGCAGCAGCT